GAGGATTTTTGAGCCTATGTTTAGAAAGAATATTGGCCTATCATTTTTAATGTTCTTATTTGGTTTTGATATCAGTTGTACTGGTCTCATAAATCAATTTCTTTATTCTCTGAAGGTATTTGTGTAGAACAGCTAATAAATCTTCATTAAATGCTTGGAGAAGTTCACCATTGCAACCATCTAGTATTCTTAATTTTTTTCATAATATCTAAATTTATATTTTCAATGACTATCTATATTTTCGCTTTCTGTATACTTTGTGTTCTGAACAATACAAAGGCTACCACATTCTTCTGCTTTCCCTTCTCCCAGCTTCCTTCTCACCCTGCAGTTAATTTTGCTGATACCATCTGAGATTGTTTTGAATGTTACTAAGAATTTGTGTTTCATTCCTACGTTTACCCGACAGTGCTTATTTAAACTTAAAGGTTTTTTCTGCTTACTCTTCTTGTGCTTTGTTATTCTTGGGTTATTTTTTTATTCCAGATACGTATCTTTTTTGTTTGTTTGTTTTTGTTTTGTACTGGGGATCGAACTCAGGACCTTGTGCTTGGGAGGCAGGTAGTGGAACCACTGAGCTAAATTCCTGACCCTCCAGAGTAATTCTTTCATCAGAAATCTGAGAGCAGGGGATTTAGCTCAGTGGTGTCACACCTGCTTCGCAAGAGCAAGGACCTGAGATCGATCCTTGGTAGTGGGTGGGGTGGGGAAGAAATCTGAGGGAAGCAAACTTAGTGTCTTCATACATCCAACAATGTATATTTTCACTCTCATACATGAATTATTAAGAATTTGAATGGGTATAGAGTTCTAGGTTTAAAAGTATGTCCTGTTGTCCCAGGACCACTTGTTGAAAAGATGACTCATTCATTTCTCACTGAGTAGTCTTGTCACACTGTCAAACATTGATGGGTCATAGATTTTGGGGATTACTTCCCAACCCTCATTTCTATTCCATTGATCTCGATGTCCATCCTTACTCCATTACACAGTATTTTGAATATTGTATCTATCTTGGTAGTAAGCTTTGAAATCAGGAAGTGATTTCAGTCTTCCTGTTTAGTTTTTTTTCAGGAGTGTTATAGAATCCTGAGTTCCTTGCATTTCCATGTGAAGTTTAGGGTTAGTTTGTTCATTTCTGCAAAGAAAAAAATAGCATTTGGAATTTTGATGGAGAGAATGGTTAATTCTCTCTGGTACTTAACATTCATGTAGTTTATGCTTTTTCATATTTGAGTCTTGGTTTTATGCTCATTCATCCTTGCTTGAGAGTCCTTGTTAGCTTTCCTGTGAAGCTGCATCTGTTTATTGTAGCAGGTCCTCACTGATTGTGGGTGGAGATAAGAGGACAGTGAACATGTGATGAGCTATCCCAGTTGCCGGTCTTCTTTAGTGTAGTTGTCATTTATTTGGCCTGAATATTAATGTCCGCACTGGGCTCTGTTTTGCCTCTCCGATCAAAGTGTTCATAATCATTGTTCCTACCTGGGAATACAACCTTGGGTAATTTCTGTGCTAGCCCCACTCAGTCATGCTGTAAATTTTGTTTCAGTTCTTCTGCAGTCTTCCAAGTCTGTACTTAGTTTACCTTGAGAACTTCTCCCCAACCTCTTGGCCTAGCCTATTACTCTGGAAGTATAGGACTGTGATTTTGTGCTTTAGCCTGATTTTACCAGCTTTTCATCTTTTAGTGATTCCTCATAGCTAGTCCGCTTGGAGCATTTCTATTTTGATTAGGGAAGGTGAGTTTGCTTGTAGTATGCTCAGCCACCATCTTCATTCAGTCAGTGATTTTGTTGTGTTTACAGGGAAGTAAGCTTAGTAAGAAGGAAAAAAAATTTTAAATAACAAAAATTTGATGAAATCATTGAAGAAACTATGTTTTTCATTTTTAAGATTGCTTTTTAAGCAATCACTATTGAGGATTGGCAGTTTGAATATATGAGAATGAAAGAACAAAAACCTTAAGTTTTAAGTTCGAATCAGGAGTACACTTATGTGTGGGCCGGGGATTCAGCTTAGTGGTTCCGCTGCCTGACTCGCAAGCTCAAGTTCCCGAGTGCGATCCCTGGTACTGAAAAAATAAAAAATAAAAATAAAGGAGTATACTTATGTGAAGTTGAAGAGGCATATGTTTCTTTAAAAATAAAAAGTAAATAAATATATATTTGTTAGTGTTACACTGCTGTGTTGCTGGTTTCCGTTCTTCTTGCTCTTTGGGTGAGGAAAGAACACATGGGGTTCTCAAGTGCCCACTTTGTCTGAATAACCTCCACAGAGTCACTGTTAACCTGTGCTCTGACAGAGTTCTGCTGGTTACTGAGAGAGCTACATGCCAAAGATATTTGACAGAAGCTCTGAGAAGACACAAAAAGGATCTTATTTTTCTCATGTGGTGCTAGAGATCAAACTTGGGCCTTGTACATGCTGGGCAACACCCAGTCCACAAAAGGATTTTTAATTACAGCTTTGGTTCAGTAGTTTTCAAAGTTACTCCTTCAGTGTTATTCTAAAGTAGTTTTAGATTCCATATGGGTTCCTAAATGGTATAGAAGGGCTAATTACCACAATCCAAATCATAACTACGGTTAACACTTTGGCATCACTTTGAAATACTTTGGTTTCTTTCTAGTACTTTTAAAAAAATCATACTATAACAAATTTAAGTCACAGGGTATTATTTTTCTTCTAGTCCAAAATTAATATCTACTCAATGAGGAATCTTGGAATTAAAAAAACCGTAACAACAGAAAAAACAACACCCAAAGATAACCACAATTAAAACCTGATGTATGTCTTTCATGTATTTTTTATGAAAATATACTTTTTGTTTAAAATGATATCATACTCTAATACTACTTTGTAACTTGTTCATTTGCAATATATGTGAATATTTTGTTATATTAACAGTCCTAATATACTTTTTAAGAAGTGTATGGAAATGAACATGTTTAAGTATGTCTATTTAACATACTTAGTCATCTCTATTGGATATTGAAAGTGTTTCTAAATTTTTACCATATAAATAATACCATAGTTAATATCTTTGTCCATACAATTTTCCATGCCTCTATGATTGTTTCTTTAGGAATAGATTCCTAGAAGTGGAATAGCTGGGTCAAAGGGTATGTACATTTTAACGCTTTTGATCATCAAAATGTCAAGTTTTGAGCTAATCACTTGTTATATTCTGTCTTATATTGCAATATAATTGTTTTATGTGTCTGTCTTGTCTTCCTAATTGGAATATAAGCTTCTCGAGGGTGAGGGAAGTCTTTGTACATCGTAGGTACCCCTCTGACAGTACGGCTTCCTGTGCTGGACTCAGTAGACATCAACACATATCACACTACTTCAAAGCAGCGGTTCTCCAGGTTTTTGGATGTCATAAACCTGACCAAAAAAAAAAAAAAAAAGAAGGTTGCAGATTTTCTATTTTTCCAAGAAAGGATGTTAAAAAAACCCAGTTACCATTTTCTGTCATCATCTCCTAAAGACTATTTAACAATAAAAAGTTTCTAATCTGTGAGAAAAAGGATAGGCCTTTGAAGAGAAAATTTTAGATTTTTGAAAAACTCACTACTCATATTTTTTTTCATTTTATACTGGTGTAAAAATCTTCATCTTAGCCCAAAAGTGGACTGTAGATCCATATTTGGGATCCACTGATTTAAAGGATTTAGAGGATTAAAGCATAAATCCTTTGCAAGATTAATAATTCTCCTTCTTACGAGTCTCTCCCATGGTATTAACTGCACATGTATAGGTGTGTCATTTCATTATGAAGAATTTGTGTATCTCCAGGTACAAGTTCTACAGTAAGCAAACTAGACCTTGTTGTTTAAGATCTGAATATATTTCCAAAGGCCACCATTAAAAACTATTCTCTTTGCAGGCAATTTAAGACAGGGTGTTTTAGAGTCAGAATGCCTAGGCTTGAATCCTGGCTCTGACATTTAGTCACTTAATTTTCCTTTACTTTCCTTATAAAATGATGATGATGATAATATCTTCTTCAGGGTGGTTTTGTAGCCTTTGTTGCAGCAGTTGCATCAATATAATGTGATTGTTTACACATCTGCCTGCCTTATCAGAGGATGAGCTCTTAAGGTTAGGAGTCATTACCTTCTTTTGCAACCCTAGGTCCTAGCATAGGAGCTCATGCATAGCAGGTGCTTAATAAAATGACTTGGATCAATACAGGATTGTTATTAGAATTATATGAGGTAATATATGTGGAAGCTCTTAGTAAACATAATGCTATACAAACATGTTTTTATGGTCCATAAGATCTATATTTGGGAGCTATCAGTACTTTGGAAGAGAGAAAATTTACTCCATTTAATAGTTCCATAAATACATTGCACTTCTGTTTTATAAGAAAACAAGTTTTAATTTTTGGGTTAATGTGGAGTTAATTTGCTTCCTGGGAAGGCAGATGAACTCCCCCTCTCCACCCCATGGAAGTACCAAGATAGTAAGTAAATGTTTGTTTTATTTGGATACTGTAATATAATTTTAATAAGATCAGCTTATTTCATGTTTAAAGATTGGTACCCATTGCTTTATAGCTAATAAAAGAAGAATACCAAGCTTTGAAGAGAACAGGAGCCTATGTTATACCCAATTAGTTTTGGGTAGAGCTCCTTGACATGTGCTGACTTAACATGTCATTGTTTCTTATGTTCATAACGCTCTTGGTGACTTTTTGCCACAAGATGGCATTGGTGATTATTGAGTACACATACTTTTGAATCACAGTCATGAGAAAATGGTGCACATAATTGTATTCTTTTGGGGAAAGAGATGAACACCTTCATCACTGCTTATATATTAATTTAAATTTAACCTCCAAAACAGAATTAAATGCTACATTATTTCCTTTCTGTATTCAAGTATTGTTTTGTTTCCTGTTTTTCTGTCTTAATAACTACAATAACTATGTATTATTTGCCATGTGCTATATGTGTCTGACTTATTGCTGATAATTGTGGTAACAGGTAAGAAGAAAATACGATGGGACCCAGTTAGGAGGCGCTTCATTCAGTCCTGTCCCATCATAAGGATCCCTAACAGGTTTTTGAGAGGTGGGTGATAACTAGCAAGAGATCTGTGCTTCGTATGGGTTAAAGAGAACTTTGAATGAATTTCTAAACTCAAAACTCTGTTATTTAAAAATCTGTCTTAATAGCTAAAATTGGTTTAAGAAAAGTCTAGAACTTAGTTTCATAATGACCATTGTTGGAATTATAATTTTAAGTTTGGGAAAGTTAGAATCTCTTAATGTATATTAGTTGGTAGAAATAAATTATCTCACTGATCCAGTGGTATTCCACTGTAACCACATTAGAAAAAACTTTGAGGTGTTATTTTAAAAAGAAAATATTAAATTATGTCATCATATAAAATAAATTTTTCTTATGTTAAATACTATAAATAAAAAGAAGGAAATACTTGTACAAATGATTAATGCCATGAACTTACAAAGAGCTCTTATAAATCAATAGTTTTAAAGTAAATGGCTGCTAGGAAAAATAAGTAAAAGGACATGAATAATCAATTCACGAAGAAGTACCACCAAAAAATGTAAACATTTATTTTTGCTATTGTTATAAACATAACAATCAAAACAATACAATATTTTCCCCTATTAGAGTTACAAAGACTAAAAATAATACCACTGAGGGCAAGAGTTTTGAAAAATAAAGCTTAAATACTGAAGAAAGTATGGGCCAGGCATGGTAGTGCACGCCTGTAATCCCAGCACTCGGGAGGCTGAGGCAGGAGGATCCCTGTGAGTTCGAGACCAGCCTGGGCCACATAGTGAGTTCCAGGTCAGTCTCAAATACATAGTGAGACCCTGTCTCAAAAAAAACAAAAGAAAGTGTGAATTTTATGTACCCTTTCTGGATCCAATTTGGCAAAATATATCAAAACCTTAAAATGTTTATATCCTTTGACCTAGCAGTTCTTACTTTTTAAAATGTCACATTCTTCCCTACTTTTTGTTTTTCTTATTTATTTATTTAGATACCAGAGATCAAACGCTGGACCTCGTGCTTGTAAGGCAGGCGGAGGAACCGCTGAGCTAAATCCCTGGCCCTACTTTTTGTTTTTTTACCAAAACATACTCCACGTTGAGAAAAAAGAAAATCGCTGAATATTGAAAACTCTGGTTTATACTATTTTTCTAGATCTGCCAAGGGCTGGGGATTTGTCTGAGTGGCACCATGCCTGCCTCAAAAGCACAAAGCCCTGAGTTCGATCCCTAGTGTGTGGGGAGGTGCGGGGAGAAAAAGAAAGACCTTGTCTCTAGATCTTCCAAACCTCATTAAGAATGTTTAGTGTTGTAACTTAGATTTTATTAAATTATGTACAAGCCACTTTGTCTAATTTTAACTGAAGAAATTAAAACCAAAGCTAGGAAAAAGTCCTATAGCTGCTATATACATTCCTGTATTTAGTGTCTGACCTATTTTTAGTAGCCAAGTTCCAGAACATGCAAAGAATAAAACCTAGCCTAAATTAATCAAAATAAGATACTTAGGGTTGTATGCCATCTTTTATAAATAATATTATAATTTATAAATAATATTATTGCTAAAAATTAAGGGGTAATTTTAGTAGTATGTGACAGGACGTACATTGTACACATGTAGACAATTCTATAACATTTTTCTTTTTTCTGTTTATAAATTAAAATGCTAATTTATTGATCCCCCCCCCAAATCTAGCGGACTACATGAAGAAAAAATTAAGCTTTATAATTTATTGTTAATGGTATTTAATTATTTAAATTATAGTTCTGCTTACTAAATATAAGCATGATGAAATAGTTTAATTAGGATATAGAATTGAGCATCATAACATTAAAATATAAACATAGGACCCCAAATCTCGGACTACATGAAGAAAAAATTAAGCTTTATAATTTATTGTTAATGGTATTTAATTATTTAAATTATAGTTCTGCTTACTAAATATAAGCATGATGAAATAGTTTAATTAGGATATAGAATTGAGCATCATAACATTAAAATATAAACATAGGAACAAAGGAAATAGTGACATAACTGATTATATCTGGATGAGGAATTTTATTTTCTTTTTTATATTCTGTGTTTTTCAATGTTTTAATTATTGGAAAAAAGAGATTGCACAGGTAAGTTTCATACCCTTGGTTACTTGTAAGCCTTAAATTCAAACTGTGGCTGAGAAAGCTGGTCTTAGTTCTGCAGTTCTGCAAAGAAGAGCAAGGGAGGAGCACACTCAGGATTAGCAATGTCAAATCCAAGCCCCTGAGGACATCCTTTAAATCAGAAGTCTTATCTTAGTTCTCACCTTCTTTGACCTATTTGTAGTGTCCGATGCTGTTGACCCCCTTCTTAAATTTTTTCTCTTCTTTTGGGTTGCATTACTGCATGGTTCTAGGTGTTTTCTTCAACCTCTTTGGTTGTTCATTCTGTTTGCTTCACTAGCTTCTTCCTACCCACTAAAGATGGGTACTTATCTGGCATTCTTTTGTCCTCTCCATGATTTCCTTTAGTTGTCTCATCAACTTTCTCAGGTTTAACTATCTTTGTTTGTTCATGTGTTCATTCATTCTTTCAGTATTTCTTGATTGCTTCCTATATATCAGGTACTATGTTAGCTGATGATGTAGATTACAGAGAATTGGGTAAACCGAGGACTACAGAACAATGTGAGCATAATTCTTTGTGACAGGTGCCCTGATGAGGTAATGTGGCACAGGAGCACACAGAACAGGTTCCTGGCTCAGCTTGCAGGGATGAGGATGAAAGAGAAGTGGCCCTTGGGATGAGTTTTCAGAAATGACGTGCCTCAGAGTGGGTGTTATCAAGGGAGGGCTGGAACCTGTCAAACCAGGGGGACCAAGTAGCTTAAGAAAGGCATTTAGGCAGAATTGGGCTTGGTGCTTCCAAAGATCTTATTAAGTTCAGCACTGTGGGACAGAGGTGGCTGAAAGCTAGTAAGGGTCAAATCAAGTGTGTATCTCTCGAGGGGAGTTTTCAGGACCTGCTTTTTGTTCCTTAGCTTGTAAAGAGATTTAATTGAATGAACAAGTACAAAATCATTGTAGCTATCAAGGTGAAAAATGATGGAGCCTGCAAATAAGGTGTCATAGTAGGAAGGGAGAGTAGGGAATCACTTTAAAGTATGGAGATGTTCAATCAGATGAGACTTGATGACTGAAGAGGAGGAGGGAAGGGTCAGAAATGGCTTCAAGCTTTCTGTATGGACAACAGTGCTCTTTACTGGGTATTGCGTAGCTGGACAGGGGAACGGGTTGTAGGAAATACGATAAATTCAGTTTGATCTTTGCAAATCATTGATAGCTTACTTACCCTTTAATGCTTAGTCTAAAAGTTATTTCTGGAAAACCTCTTTAGCAGGCCTATTTCCTCTTTGATTCTAGTATTTATTTCCTGGGAAATTGCCTTGGTAGGCCTGTCCCCTGTGTTCTGATGGTGCCCTCTGTGTGCCTACCTGTACCAACACTTAATGCACAGAATTACATGTGTTCTTTATTTTCTGTGCTTACTGTTAGACTGTAAGCTCTGAAAGGGCAGGGACAGTGGGATCGTGCCTCTTACTTATCTCCAGTTTGTAGCACAGTGCTTATAATAAGTTTATCAGAGGTGTTTGAGTCAAATTGGGTTATTAAGAAAGCCACTGTCAGGAAATAGGATGGGTCTAAGATTTTAGATGTTCTTAGCTTCTTTTTTGGTGATGGTAATAGTTAACTAGAGAATTGTTGAGAAGATGAAAATGCTGTTAATTTTTCTTTTTCTTTTTAATTTATCTATACTTTTGAAATAGATACTTCTAAGCCTCTCATTTTGGGAATCCTTTATATTACCTCTGCTGATGGTTAAAGACAGTTTCATAGGACCTTTTTTTCTGTCAGTAGATTCCTCTATAGACCCTGCATCTTTTCTACATGGCATTTCAGTCAATTAAAAGTGTGGTATAGTGCAAAGAATTCTGGTGTAGTGGAAAGTGTTTCCATCATGAAATGAAGGACTGAAAGTACTCATTTACTTTTCTCTGCTTCTCAGATATCATTAAAAATGATAAAACAGATGTAAGACAACAAATAAATCATAATTGTATTTTAAAAACAGAAAGGGGAGGCTTTAAAGGTGGATTACCTGTGTCTGAATACAAGCTCTTCCATTTGCCAGTTATGTGACCTTGAGCAAGTTGCTCATTCTTTTTTTTCTCGGTTTCCTTATCTGTAAAATTAGGATGATGGTAATAGTACCTGTCTCACAGAACAGTGGTGGTGAACCTATGACATGCATATTGTTTTTCTTTTAAGACAGAAGATGGTAACATTTGAGTAGTTTTTTCTAAACTAAAACCTCAGTATTCAGGTTTAATTGCAGTGTTGGAACTTTGTGAAAATCAGTGTGTTTTGGGATGCAGTTTGGGTACTTGTCTCTGAAGAGTTCGCCATCACTGTCATAGAGTTATTGTGAAGATCCAGAGAGACATACAGAGCATTTAGGAGAGTCTTTTACATTGAGAAAATGTTGAGCCAATTTTAGCTGCTATTATTATTTGTATTGTTAAAATTTCAGGAATTTTGAGGAATTTCAGCGTGCTCAAAAGCAATTTGAATTCCATTGATTTTTTTTTTTTTTTTTTTTTTTGATACAAGGTCTAACTATACAGTTTAGGCCAGCCCTGAACTCACTGTGTAGCCCAGGCTGGCCTTGAACTCTCTGAAATCCTCCTGCCTCAGCCTCTCCCAAGTGCTGGGATTACAGGCGTGCACCACCACGCCCAGCTTTTGGTATAACTATTTTGAAAACATTTTTGTGTGTCCTAGTATGGTACAAATTCACTTTAAGACCCAGAAATTCAATATTTTGAAAACATTTTTGTGTGTCCTAGTATGGTACAAATTCACTTTAAGACCCAGAAATTCAATTTCTAGATTTACAGCCAACAGAAGTATGGACCTGTGCACCTGAAAAAATGTACAAAATGTTTATAGTAACATTACCAGCCATAAATTTTAAAGTACCCAAATATCCATGCACAACTTAGAATGGACAAA